TGGTGAAATAATTTATTACATGGAACCTTAAAGTGGTCTGTTTATATATATATATATATATATATATATATATATATATATATATATATATTTTCGAGTGAGTTAGCTTGGATATCCATGAGACTATTACGCTAACCATCACAGTCCTGCATCAAGGTCGGGGGATCATTGAGAGTAGACATTCTGCGTCTTGACATAGCTGATCTATATACGTGTTTTCTGGGCAAGCAACCCATCTTAATCCATAGCTAGATGTCCAGAGAAGTAGATCTCTCTCAAGTTCTTGTTTTACACGCAAGCAGTGTTCCAGAAAGCCCATTCTGCATTGGCCTAAGATTTAGAAATATCAGGGATGTGTCAAGAGGGCTTTGATTTAGTTGGATTTTGTCTCCAGGAGATGTTAAGCATTGTCCATATTCTACCAAGAGCTTTTTCTAGACATTTTTATTGCATTGGACAATTTTACACACAACTATCAATTTTATCAAAAAATACAAGTAAATCGCCCAGACATTATTATCAAAGCCAAATATACGTTCTCCGACAGAATTCGAACCTGTGTCCTATACGGAACCATCATTTAGCTTGACGTGCATTTACAGATTTGGCCACGAAGGAGCTTTCGGTGAGCAAGATCGAATTTACTTTATTTAAACTTCAAACTTCCATGAATCTCTCAAATCTGTCAAGGCACGTCAAGCAAAATGACGGTTCCGTATAGGATACAGGTTCGAATCCTGTCGGAGGACGAATATTTTCTGTGAAATTTTCTCGGATATTCAGGCCGGTAAATCTTGTTTAATACTGTTTATTATAAACAGAGCATTTACTTAAATATTTGTATCTATAAAAAGAATGTATAAACATAAAAAAATGTCTTAAAATAATTGTCGGACATTGTCCATTTCATATATATATATATATATATATATATATATATATATATATATAGATAGATAGATAGATAGATAGATAGAATATATTAAATATTTTATCCTTCTACTAGAATGGCTGGAAATCCCTGTTTGCAGTGCAATTTAACCTACCATTGTTGTCAGGAGAAAATATCGATTCATCCCTTCTCCAATGGGTGTTTTGGCCTTAGTATATATCAGTCATCTTCCAAGAGTCAAACCAAGCAGTTGCTTATTAGTTCCAGCTGAGGATATATCTGAACCCCCACACCACCCCGAGAGAGGAGTGCAAATATCGCAATCGTGCTTAAAAATAAAACAAATCTGCTTTTGATTCTTGGAAGACGACTGTCCACTTTGGTTAAACTATAAGGTGACGTCAGTAAGTTGTCGTCACGTGACACACGTGGCTTCATCTTGTCCAAAGACAGATACTCGCCTTTTGCATTCCGACAGAGGCATGGATCCATCTCTTCTGTCCCAGCTATAGGTTAATTAGTATGACTTGTATCTGCAAATTATTATTTATTCATATGTATCTAAACATTGATTCTGGCTTTGCCTAATCCGCTAAAGGTTGATAAACCGTAAAAAAATAAATCATTTAACCATAACACTCTGGGTTGATAATGTTTTGATTGTTAATATTATTTTTTGATATCCATTTTATTATTGTTACATGTCTCACGGTCGAGAAAATTCGAGTCTAAACCTTTGGCTTTATTTGGCTTTGATAATAATGTCTAGGCGATTTACTTGTATTTTTCGATAAAATTGATAGTTGCGTGTAAAATTGTCCAATGCAGTAAAAATGTCTAGAAAATCTCTTGGTAGAATATGGACTGTGCTTTTGTTAGAACGATTATTCTTTTGATTTCTCGGAGAGGAATAGCAGCAGCTGTTTTATTGACTTCTTCTTGGACTCCATTCTTTATCAGATCCAAATCTCCAGCCAGAACAGAGAAGATTTTAGTTTTTTAATGCCATATTTGTTTCAATTCTCACCTCCAAGTTTCAGCATTTGCTAACTTTGCCAAAAACCTTTGCAGAGATGTTTTTTGTCAATTTGCTCATGTCAATAACCGTGAAGACAATTTTTTTTTCTTTTCTGTTTTTGATAATAATGTCTGGGCGATTTGCTTGTAACTTTCGATCTGTGTTGATAGAAGAAATGATAAATACGTGTACGCAGATTCATATTCTGTGCAGCAAGAATTAACTTTTCTGTCAGATCCTCTAACTTGAATGGCACTCGAGCATTGTATTCGAAGAACTTTAAATCCCTTTCTGTCTAAATTTGTTTTATAATCAAATGGGGCCTCATAAGCAATGGCCTAGGGTAAGTGAAGGGTGCGAGTTTTTGTCGATTCAATATAATTTAATAATACCGTTCGTCCTTGCATTGAATACTGCTGCCATATAATCTGCTGCCTCCGTTGTTCAACTCAAGGCACTCGCAAAGTGATAGTTCTTGAGCTGGCATCTCGTCTACAGTGACTTTCGCACTGATGTGCTGTGGCTTCACTCTAACTTTTCTGCTCTGACAAGTTAATTTCACTTGTTCCCAAACTGCATGAATTTAAGCGTGCTACTAGGTTGGCATATCGGTCCCACCCTCTTACGGTTAAATGTAGACGTCTCCTCTACTCCAACAGCTTCTTATATCTCACTTGAATTTTTATTCTTTTTACAATAAAAATTTCAATGTTTTTGACATGCCCAAGTTAACACGAGTTGAATATACGATTATTCCTTATTGTAGGTGGAGTCTGGCAAGACACAACACTTAAATTATCAATCGTAATTGTAGTGTTCAATACGCAGCTAGACAAGTCACTACAATAATATCTTCTCATTTCCTTTCCATACAATTACCCAGGATTACCTATCCTGAATAGATCAGTTCATTCATTATAGTGGTTGACTGGGGCATGAAAAGGCTTGTAAACTTTAATGTCTCCAAAACGAAACTGCTCTCATTTACCAAGCATAAAGAACCCTCCCTATCTTTCATCAGAATGGCTGCTGCCCAACATCAAGAGAGCGCCTCATTGCGGCTACTTGGACTCATGGTTTCCAATGACCTGATGTGGAACATCTACATTGAATCAATAGCTTCATCTACCGCAAGGAAAGTTGGTTCTCTGTGTCTCGCCATTCTTTAAATCTACAAATATACCATTCGTCATTACATTTAATACTGCTACCATATGATCTGGTGCCCCGCTGTTCATCTCGATGTACTCGCAAAGTGATAGGTCTTGAGCTGGCATCTCGTCTACAGTCACTTTCGCACTGACGTACCGTGGCTTCCCTCTGTCTTTTCTGCTCTGACAAGCTAATTTCACTCGTTCCCAAACTGCATGAATTTAAGCGTGCTACTAGTTTGGCATCTCGGTCCCACCCTTTCACTGTCGATTTTTTTCTTTTTATTTCCTGTAGAGAATGCGTAGCAGCGATTTTATTGACTTCTTCTTGGGGTCCATTTTTTATCACTTCCAAAGCTCCAACCAGAATATGAAAGGTTTTAATTTCTAAATGCCATATATTTTTTCTATTCTCACTGGTAGGTTTCTTCATTCGTTATATTTGTCAAAAACTTTCGCAGAGGTGTTTTTGCCACTTACTTCGCATATATCAATAAGCGTGACAACTTTTTTCTTTTCTGTTTTTGATAATAATGTCTGGGTGACTTACTTATATTGTTTGATCTGTGTGGATAAAAATAAAGAGTATTATAATAAAAACTCCTCCAGCGACCGATTCAGAATGACCCTCATATCAGTTTGCAGCTGTTTTTATCCAGTACTGATGACAGATCTTCCAGTGAATATATTGATCGACCCTGTCATAACGGTTTTTCTTTCTCATTGTGTGTGAGTAATGGGCAGTCACAGAAAAGATGATCAATAATTTATTGTTTACAGAGCCAACATTTTGGATCCGTGCTATTCTGTAGGAATACTTACTAGCAGACTGGCCATGTGCAGCAAGCCTTAAGTTCTGAACATTTAGCCAGTGGTACGTTGCAATTTAACTTATTTGACCATTTTTTGAAGAAAGAACTGGCGATTTACAGACATCATTTTCTTCTTCTTCTTCTTTGTTTCTTTTTCTATTTTTCTTCTTTTTTCTTTCTTTTTCTTCTTCTTCTTCTACTTCGTAGTAGTAGTAATCGTTTTCTGTTATTTTCTGTTCATGCCTAAATTACGGCCCTTAATTTTAGATATGGACGTCGCATAAAAATTTAAATTATTTATAACATATAAATAAATAAGAATATAAAAAAAATATAAAATAAACATTTGCGCAAAAAAAGGCGCGAAATATTACAATCTTTTCTTTTGTTGAAAATATATCTTTGTTAATTTTGATATTGTTTTTATGGATGAAAAACATCCACATGCGGGTATAATATTTGGATGCTTAAAAAATAACCAAACGAAAAGCTTTTGTGATCGTTAATAATGCAATAATGTCTCTTGCTGCTAGTTTTATTATTTATACGCAAAATTTAACATTTGAAAAATGAACTGGACCATTAATTAAAATGGGATACCATAGTCCCAACGGCAGGAATTGGAATTACTGGACAAGAGTGAAGAATTGTAACTGGAACAGTGGCTTGTCCAAGTCACTGGACTGATTGCAGACCAAAGAACCGTGTCGATTAAAGTAGGAAATTTAAAAGGAGAAAGAGAAGGAAATAACGTTAATGTTGAACGAATAGTTGACTGTTTCGCCAAACTTAATAAAGCTGGTTAATTAACTTGTCGAACGATATCGTTAATTGAAAATGGAGGTGGTGGAAGAAACAACTCGATGGTGAAAATCGCCCAGGCATTTGGTTTGGCTTTGTTGCAAACGCCGTTTCTCCGAGAATTCACGTGACAAGACGTGACTTGTGTAGCGTCTCATGACTTGCAGGCACCAGTCAAGACGATTTCCGTTCTGTGCACAGCGGGATTCCATCTCATGTGCGGTAAAAATTACCGCCTACTAAACAAATGGAAGATAATAGAATTAAATAAAGTAATCAACGGAGAAAGATATTAAAACAAGCAGAAAACGGGAGGAATTATTCAATGAAGTTTCGTTATCACCAGTAAATGGGCGAGAACGTCTGTAAACAATGTGGTATCATTTAATATAAAGTAAAGTATATATTTCCCTCTTGAATACTTTTAAGAAAAGGTGTTTAGATAATTGACTATATTGTAAAAAATTTCACAAACATTATTCACATAGCCACGTTAAAATAAAAAGAATATTTCTTTGCTTAGAGGATTTTCTCCTTATGTTTTATAGTTTATGCAAAAGCATCGGAGAAATTATGTTAAAAATAAAACTGGTACAACTGCTAGGTAACCTTGATTATATTGCAATAATACAGAATAACCATGGGAGCAGACCGCCTACATAAGAACAGATAAGGAATTCAGTAATAAATACAAAAATATATATCGGTATAAGAAAATGATATGCTTTATCGCCGGACTTATTTAACGTTAACACTTTCACTGCTACTCATTTGTCCAGTGCTGCCACCATCCGGTCAGCCATTTTGAAAGAAAAAGACAAATTTCAACCTACATATTTTATTACACAGAAAACTGGCACCAGTGTGTTTTACAGCATTCCATTTTCATGGATATACCTGGGAATGACTTACCAGATCATTAATGGGTATACACATGATATCTTTTGAAGCATTGTCCTTTGTTGAGTGGGGCTTCACACTTTTTGCAGAAATACCTTGTTTCTGAGCGTTTTCCGGCTTTTTTTGCAGACTCTGCATGACTTGGAAGGGTACCTTTTCTTATTGGTTGGTGGAATTTCTACCAAGACATGAGCTTTCATTCCACCAACCAGGCGATATGCAGGATCAATTTTAGGTGCCCTTGGACATACGGTCACGGGCGCTGGGAACATCAGCATGCTAGCCGCCTTTTCGTCAGGAACATTTTCAAATTAGATACGAAACTACCATGACGTAGAGAAAAATCGAGGCTGACTAATAATTTACATGATAGAACAGTTAGAATTTCTCGTATTTTACGATAGATGGCGCAACGGGATACTCATACCAGCGGGTATGCAAAAAACGTAGGTTTCTCCAGCTGGAGAAAGATAAGAAAAACGAAGATTTCCGTAGATAGTAGCGAAAGTGTTAAGAGTGAAGCAATCCTGAGGGAATTAGATGTTCTGTCAGGACTTAATATTGATGGCTACAGTCTTAACATTAGAAATATATATATCACACTATGAATAGCAGACTGAGAAAGTCTGACTTCTTGTCTGCTTAGGTCTTAGTCAATGTATAAGTTCAATAAATCCTGTGATAACGAACATCTTTCATCTTTTTCTATACGTGTACAGCTCGTTTCCATGAAGGCAGTTTTGCACCCTGTAATTCATAAGGATCATTCCAATATGTTTACAAAATGAATCAAGTTTTCTTATGAACAAATAACTAGTAACACATGAAGAACATGGCATCAAATATATGAATGCAATATCTTATTAAAATCAACATAAATTTCTAATAAGCAGAATGTTCTCGCTACGGAAGCATTAACATTAATTATTTGTAAGGAAATATGTTTATTTACTAATGTGCCAATTTCTTTCGTTTGTTCCTAGTAAATTCTCGATTGGATTTAAATCAGTTACTGGGGTAATCTTTATTACTTTGATTTGCTCACTGATAAAAATTTCCAGTGGGTTCATGCAGCATTCCAACTGTCTTACGTTTACTTGTAATGAAGTTCATCAAAGACAATGAGCGTAGGACAACTAATGGACAGTCGAAACAGAAGTGTCTGGGCGTGATAAAAATTTGATGCAATCACCGATGACGCAATATTTTCCAAGGCCAAGCAAATTTCATCATACACACCGAAAACAGATTTATATTACTGCGCACTACTTCAAATAGCCTAATCGAAAGAAAAAAATAGAAATCGATTTCACACTTTCAATCTAGTGGATCTAAAATTGACCGTATGGCGAAAAGAAAAGGAATGGGTTAATCAGTGTTCATGCTATATGCAAATCTCAGGCCATCGGTTGGGTTTAGCATAAACAGACTGTCGTCTCTAAGTGCTGTTCACAATGTGCCGTTATATATATATATATATATATATATATATATATATATATATATATATATATATATATATATATATCCTAAAATTCTCGCTGTTAAGGTTTAATCTCCCTCCTCCTCATACTTACACTCTCTCTAAATTCTGTTTTTATTTCCGGAGTTGTTTTTCTGTTTGATTTTTGAATTTGTAGGTCTGATGAATTGGATCGTATTTACGATTCCAATGGAATAAATTATGACCATGGAATATTAGTGTTTAAGCCTTTTATTATATCCTTACTTTGTCCTGGACATTGAGTTCTCATGGATTCTTCCTCTTGGAATTTTTATTCAAAAAAATATACATGTATCGGTATTTATATATTTTGCATATGTATGTATATTTACCAGTAATATTATCTATCTATATATATATATATATATATATATATATATATATATATATATATATATATATGTATGTATGTATGTGTGTGTGTGTGTGTATATATATATATATATATATATATATACACACACACATATATATATATATATATATACTGACAAACCTCTTATCAATGGACTAAGAGGAGAAAGGATTAAAGCCGATTATCTGTAGATGACAAGGGATAGTTATGATCATAATGTAAATACTATAAGCATGTAAATATGGCATAAATAAATATATAATTAATAATGATATATTAATCAAAATATCAAAATAGCTACTTTCTCACGCATGCACTAATATATCGTACTTTATAAACTGTACACCCTTCGTTGTTTACAATTTAAATTCCGACCCCGCCGACAAGTGGTCACTTTGAGAACAAACACGACTCGTTCCGCTAAGCCAGGAAATTTTGAAATACATTGGTGATGATTTGGGGGCATTTTCCTGCAGGTCTCCTTTATTTTGTCCCTTGCATCTGAAGTCCGTTGATGGTTGGTCCTTAGGTTTGCATATCTATCTATCTATCTATCTATCTATCTATCTATATATATATATATATATATATATATATATATATATATATGGATAGATAGATACATAAATACATATATACATATATATATACATATGTATATATATATATATATTCATACATATATATATATATATATATATATACACATACATATATGTATATACATATCTATCTAACAATCTATATATATATATATATATATAGATAGTTACATTGATAGATAAATATATATATAGATATATATGTATCTGTGTATATATATATGTATGTATATATATATATATGTATATATATATGTATGTATATATATATACATACATATATATATATATATATATATATATATATATATATATATACATATCCATATATATATCAAATATACATACATACACATATATATATCCATATATATATATATATATATATATATATATATATATATATATATATATGATAATAATATTGATAATAAGTCTAATAATATTTATTTTATTTTAGTATCGATTTCGAATAGATGAATGATGGGAACGATTTCAAAAACTCGGAATTTTCGGACACGTATAGATGGGCACCTTCATGCGGGATTTTTTCGCTTCAGTTAATTTCTGAAGAGAACTTTGGGGCTAGTCATACCCCACGATTACGACTGCAGACGGTTTATAGGAGACCTTTTGTGGAGACTGTATTCATTGACTGTACCTAAATTCTTATTTACGCCTAGAATTTGCGAATACATTTTAAACATTTATTTCAACTCGGATGTTCATTGTTCTTTTCTCCATTTAAATGAATTCCCTGGAAGGACTGATCTTGAAGTACCAATGTCATGGTTCGCTTGTTAGAAATGTGCTGATACAATGAAAATTCATGCTGCCGTCTTTAATAAAATTTATGGTTATTAAACTGAATACGGAATTCAATACAAGATTCAACAATGTAATTTTCTTTTTTTGCATTTGTTGCAAAATGTCAATATATTATATTTTAACTGCCCTTCGTTGATACATTTTATGAAATGAGGCTGAAGCCAGTATCGATTCGGAAAGCTGCCTGAAGACGAAAATCAAAGTTAGGATAAATATAAAGGCTTGATAAACCGTTGGTGGGTTAAAGTAAGTCGGACAAATGGACATATACCTGTAGATTAAATTGTGTTTGTTAAATATGAGAAACTTGCGAAAAAAGTAATTATAAGCTTACATCTATGAACGTTGGATAAAGGGCCTCTTCAATGCTGTTGGTCGGACGAGTGTATTTTCTTTTTGCATAGACAGCACAACAAAACTCTTCATATGACAAGCTTTTCTCATGTACATTAGAAAAATAAACTAAAAAATGTGTGGCAAGATCTATAGAAATTTTTTTCTCCGTTTCCAATACAGTCGATGAGAATGAACGCTTTTAAGTGAATCGGCCAGGGCAGCAAAGGCTCATGGATATAAGTATCCGGCTGCTTATGCGTTTATGGGGTTTCTTGATTGTGAACGAATTACGCTAATGTGATTGGACGCGTCAACAGCGTTTCTTTCCAAACTGACGTGCCAAACATTTGGAAAGGAACAGTTTAAACCGAGGTTGATTAGACAAAAATGTTTGCCTCATTAGCGGATATTGTGTCGAAGTCTTCGATCTGCACAGTGTAAAGTCCTCAGCAACCTCACTTGAGAAGACTGCATACATACATACATGCATATATATATATATATATATATATATATATATATATATATATATATATGCTTGTTTATGTGTGTTTGTTGT